GAGTTTTGGAACTTTGATTTTCTTCCAGATAATTTTTCAGGCTGTTGTAGCCCTCTGTTTGGCATGTGAATTGCTTCAGGTGGTGCCTTATATTATGAGATGGGCATTTAGGATAATTCTCAGTGGTGTTCACGGCCTAGTGGACTTGTTTTTTGGGAGCCAGTCCTATAGACTTAAAACCTAAATATTTGTTTGGTGGTGGTATGAATTATGACCACGGAAGACTTAAGACAGTGGACTGAGTTAATGGTGGGGTGATACCCTGACTCTTGTAAATACTGCTGGTCCTTCAGGGGGAAGGACCTTCTTAACTACATAGTGAACAGGAGCCTACTTTGATATAGTGTATCTTGATGCAGTGTTACCACATATTTGTCATTGTACATTTAATTTAGCAACAGTGGACATGAGATTCTCGGTGATGTGATTTGATATACTAGCTGAAGTCTGCGGACAGTGTGTTGTGGTGTTAACCTAGAGCAATGAAGTCTGAAGCCACCTGGGAATCAAATCACAGGCTGTGTGTTTACTTGAAGCTATAATTTAGGTAATGTGTGTACATGCCACATGAAAAGCCTGACACACCCTCGTTTTTGAGGGTGGGTCTTGGCATTCCTTTGAATAGAGGAACAAATGATGCTCAGACAACAGAGAAATGGCTAACAATGCAAGAGATATGGTAAAAGATATGGATTGCCCAAGATAGCTTATAAAGGGTGTTTTCTTGGAGAAGCTTGCTGAGAAGACAATGTGGGAGACTGTCTTAGAAGACATGAGTGTAAATGTCAGGCTCCATGTAAAAGTTTCTCTCAAAACAGCAACAAAAGCTGCTGTCTCATCCCTGTTGTAAGAGGGAGCTTTGCTTTCTCTTCAGTAGTTCAGAAGTATCAATACAGCCTATCTACGAAGAGAACTGAGTGACTATGAAGACTTTCCTCTTAGACTGTGTGGAATGAATAGTAGAAAATAGTCTGGGCAGTTTAGAAATGGTTGGATGCCAACAGGTATGTGTGCAAAACAGGGAGGAGAGAATCATCTGAATTCAACACTCATTGCTGTGCTTGAAGTTTCTGATTTGTAGAAGATAAGATCATCAACTATATCAGTAGCATCCTATCATAACTAGCGTGAAACTGTTCCGGATGGCATAGACGGTAGGCTTGTGATTTAATGATTAACTGGGCAAAGTGCAAACCTAAGGTTTGTACCTTTTAGGTACCTTAGTACCTGAAGAAAATGTAAAGTTGTAGCTGGGAGACTTTTTTTTTTCTTTAGGTATGTTACCTTTATCTGTTTTAAATACCTCTTTTCATCAGAAAATGGGCTGGGAGAATGTCTGGAAATATTTTTAAATTTAATTTAGGATTTACTATAACTAATGCGATCTGTGAATGAATTCAAACAATATTCCATGTATTTGCATTAAGTATTTCCAATTTTAAAAGGAATATAATTTTGTAGTTGCTCTGCTTATGCTAACTCTACCTGTATCAAATGCCAGGGCTTAATGAAGCATTTAAGGTTTACTCTATTTGACTTTTGAATGAATTCAAACAATTTTTCATGTACTTGCATTTTATATTTTGTAAAAAGATGGTTTTCAAATACTTACTTGTGTAGGACTGTCATCACTTTGTGTTAGTTCAAATACCAGTATTCATGGAATCTTAATGTAATTTGTAAAGAGCATGCAAGTTCTGACTTAAGAAATAATGTTTGAATTCGTTCTTGACAGTGGGCATTTTATTACCATTATTTTTTTTTACGCAACTTCAGCGCTTGATGAAGATTCACATCCCTAGGGAACAGCAATCTCCATCTCAGAGAACCTTCAAGACCCTCTGAATGCCCATTCTGCAACCTGTGCATCCTCCTATAGCTGTGGAAATAACCTGAAGGAAAAAGTCCACGTGTGAGACAAAAAAGTGTAGTTTTGGTGTTCTCTTGCTGTGGAGTTCTGTAACAATAACAGTCTTTATTCTCAATGTGTTTTTGCAAAACCTTCATAGGTAGTGCTCCATGTCTCTTATCAGACCCTGGTGAAGTTTTGATAGACTGATGTGCCATCAGACCAAAGGTCCTTCTATCAACAGAAGAGAAGGGCAGCAAATGCCTGGTTACTTGAAGTTGCTTGTCTTCTGAGCAAATATAAAGTGATTCCTCCCCCCTAATGCTTGCCACCTTCTTGCAGGCAGCTCTTAGGTACTTTAACTAAAAAATGATGGAATTTAAAAGAAGAAAAGACTATTGATCTAATGCTTGTTAATGTTGAATGTAGTGGCATCTTCCCTTGAGAAATTTGTATTAATTTGAAATAGAAGTACTCTGAGGACATAAAATATCATATCCTTAATTTTAACTGTGATTAGTGCATTAAGAAACTCTTCTGGGATGTTTAGGAAAGAGGTCAAGTCCTTTCGTAGTCAGAATTTATATTTGTGATATTTTATAGTCATGCAGAGATTGTTAGGAACTGGTCTTAGCTAGTGAAGCTTTTAAGTTTACTGGTTTGAGAGATGTTAAAGAACATTTTTGTGGAGTAGATATGGTCCATATTCCTTTGCTGTGTGCATTTTGTTTTCAGTTCTCAGACTCATTTAAGCTGTGCAGCTGGTACAAAGATTGTTTTCAGTAACTAAAGCTGCAAGTGATTGGTAGTGTTTTAGCAGCAATTAAAACTACTGATGGTTTCACTGAGAGTTCTCCAGGCAGCAGGGTATTCGGATTTTTTTGTTATCTCATATATCTCATAGAAGTCTGAAGGAGGTGATGAGTTTTATGTGCTAGAGGACAGTTACGGGTGCAGTTCCATAAGGGAACAACTTATTTCCAGTTGCACTGGGGATTGATTTTGGTTTGCAACTGAGAAGTGTATGTTAGCTGCCCAGTTTCAGCAGTTTGCTAATGACAACTGCCTCTAAATAATAGTTTTCACAGGACTTCTGTCTCCATTCTCTTTAGAAAAGAGTAAGTGTAAGAGAGAAAGCAAATCTGCTTTGCGGTAAATATGTGATTGAGAAGAAAGGACGTTCTTGTCAGAAAGGGTTATTATTCACGTTGTTCAGTACTGTGCCAGGTACGCTGATGGACCCTTATTTGGTTGTCTTCCTGCTGTGGGCCAGTCCAGGTCACCTGAAGCGTACCCTTTGACTTCTAAGGAGTCAGTGAAAAGTAACAGGACACGCATTCAGCCCACGCTTTCAGTGCCTTTCTCTCTCTGTTGACCAGATGAAACTTCTCTGTCTCCAAAGGACAAATCAGTCCATTGAAGTCTTTGCCTTTCCTTGAGAGAGAAGGGGAGAAAGGGAAGCGGGGTGGGTGTGGTTGGCTGGAATGAGTCACCTGAAAAGATTAAGCACCTCTGGAAAGTGGGCAGACTGGGATTTAGGTGGATTTAAGTACAGACAGGATTGAGGTTTAGGTAAACCTCATCCCACCCTATAATAGAGGATGCCCAGTTTTCACAGGGGGTGTGAGATTTTTTTGTTGGTGGTGGTTTTTTTGTTTCTAGATACATTTCCTGGGGAGAGTGAACAGCAGGGCTTAATTAAACAAAAGCAAAAGGAAAGTGCTTGCAGAAATCTACTTAGCGTGACATGCTTTGTCTTTATTGTTTGTTTTTAGTCTAGTTTTCCTAAGAATCCAAAGAGTATCTGGTTACCTTGTTTGTTGTTTCCCCAGTCCTTCCTCGTAAAAACTCCTTGAAGCTTTTTACTGAACTTCAACCACGTCTGAAAGAGGGAAGAGCATTCAAAGCTTATTAAGTACTTACGAAGTTTGATTAAAGCGGTTGTTGGATACTGTGCTGGATGCACAAAACCAATTTCTGCACTGTAGCAAAGGTTACTGTAAAAACTCAAGGCTGATGGTTCCTGCTCAGTATGCTGTGAATCACTTGCTGGTTATGTATAAGTTTCCCTGTCAATGTGTAGCTGGGAACCAGCTGCAACACCTATTGCAACTTGCTGTGTCCCAGTGATTACCTAAAGTGGAAGAGGGACAAAGGGACACTTGAAGTACTCTGGTGGGGCATAGTGAAGAACGGGATTTTTGCCTTAGTAGTTGTTGAAGATAAGGAGCACAGGACATGCATTCATGGGAAACTGGGCTTTATTGATTCTGCTTGGCTTTCTTCTTTGCTGTTCTAATTTTATTGTAAAACCTCTTTCCATTTTTTTTTCTTTTACATTTGTAAGTCTCGTGGATAAATAACTTGTAGTTAAATAGCTGACCTGTTATTTAAAGGTGAAAATAGCGAGTGCTGTTACACTAGATGAACGCAAATGCATGTTACTTTGTTGTGTGAAGCTCTGTGCCGTCCAAGTCTAGGAGGAAGCTGGGCTGCATGTACAGATGTGAATGAAGAACTGTCTTGAAGGGTACACTGACACTGGTTAACCAGTAGGGTGTTTCCCTTAATTTAGACACCTGAAATTTTGTGTTTGTTCAAAACCCGAACAGCTCAGAACTTTAACAGAAGTCTTCTGGCCTTCACAGGCTTTGAGAAATATTTTCCACAGCATTCGCATTCTCTAAAATTTAAGACATAACAATTATATTTCCAGCACTGTAATTGAGATAAAAATCATAGTTTAAAGAAAAATAGGGGATGATTTATTTTATTAAATTTTTTCAGGTGGATTAATTGACTGAGATTTGGCAAACTTTTAAGATTCCCATGTTCATGTTATGCTCTTAAATTGGCTTTCCTAATTGTTTGTAGGAAGTGTACTAAATGAGTATAGCTGACCAACTCAAGTCTTTACTTACTCCACGTTTTTGTCATGACTTTTTAATGAAGATCAGTATATGTGAGAAATACTGTAGCTGCTATCCATTCTCTCCCCTATGGCGGTGTTTGGTTGGGTTTTTTTCAGTTTGTTCTGGTTCGAAGATGTAGAACTACTGGCTCCACTTACATGCGCACATATATAAGATACCATGTTCAGTGTATTTCTTTATTTACCAGTTTTGGTTTTATTTTCTTAATTTCTTTTTAGCGGATATAGCGCAGAGATACAGGATAAGCAAATATCCAACTCTGAAACTCTTCCGGAATGGAATGATGATGAAGAGAGAATACAGGGGACAAAGATCTGTGACAGCAATAGCAGATTATATCAGGCAGCAGAAGAGTAACCCTATTAGGGAGGTCCAGGATTTGGAAGAAATTAGTTCTCTTGATGTAAGTCTTTCAGTTTTGTTCCTTCTAAATATATTTTTGTTTTGTTTTAAATGTTGAACTGATGAAACATAATGTATTTGAAGTACGTATTTACTTTTTTTTTTCCATTCAGAAATGTTGAGTGCTTTTTTTTTTTTTAAAAAAACTGAGGGGAAAACTCGATCATGTCCAGTATTACACATTATTCCAGTATAATCACTTTCAGCTGCATTAATTTTGTTACAATAACTGCACTACCAAATTACTTATTTTACTTTTAATCATTTTAAAAGAATTGTGTGTTGTATTTGATAAGATACTTCCAATATTTCTCACTGGAAAAATATTCTCAAGGATGCTTCTCAATATTGAAAAGGCAGAAAAGAAATAACTTCTGCACAGTTGTTGACTGTTGAATGAATGGCACCTCTGTATTTAATATCCTCAGGGAATAATGATAGCTTTTGATAAATTTAGGTAAGTTATCATTTAACTTTTGTTTTTACAGCGCAGCAGAAGAAATATTGTTGGATACTTTGAGCAAAAGGACTCTGACAATTACAGAACCTTTGAAAGAGTAGCGAATATTTTGCATGATGATTGTGTATTCCTCTCTGCCTTTGGGTAAGTTTTAAAATGTGTTGATTGCATGACTTTGTTATTGAAATTATGTTAATGAGTTGTATAATTGAATGGACTTCTTTAATACTTTCAGTGTGTCATAACCGAAGAGACTAGACCTTAACAGATGAAACACCGAGAGGATAGGAGGAGGGGGGAGAGAACTTAATGTTTCAAATTTCTCCATGTTATACAGATTTACAGCAATATATAAAAATATCTTCACTGGAGGAAGAAAAATAAATTGGGAGTGATTCCCTTTTAAAGTAGCATAATAAAATGCAATTATAGATTCTTTCTGCAGTGCTTAATGTGCCAGCACTAACCAATTTAAAGTGATTGGGCATTAATGTGAATGCAGTGGTTTGCAGTCTACCCATAGTTGCAAGATCAGGAATTTGCATGGGTTATACTAGCTTTTATACTGCATACAGTTGCCCTGAGGGTTTTTTGAAATGGATGTTGTGAAGGATAGCGGAGAAACTGAGAGGATGTATCAAGGTAGAAAATGTTTCATCTGTGTGAACAAAATTTGTTGTCAGTCAGTAATGCCTTTTCCAATATGTTTCCAAAAAAATGTTTAGGGGTGGGGGAGAATATTTGTGATGTGCAGGAGTACACATGACTTTCCTTTCCTTCAGTTCCCAATTAGGTATCCTATGAGCGTGTAAGCAGCCTTGGCCATGAGAGAATAATCAAATCTTGTAAATCTGTGATCTGTAGGTCTGTCAGTCTTATCCCCAAAGAATGGCCATTATCTCAGATGTTTTCTGATGAGTGCATCCGTGCATGTTCTCAGGGCAGCCAGTCTGAGTTATTATTAGAATTTTAA